TCCTTCTTTAGTCTGGCTGCCATTCATCTCTGTTATCATCTCATACTTCTCATCCGTTCCCTACCCATATTCTTCCTGCCTCAGGGCCTTTGCATTTGCTATTTTCTCTGCCTGGAAAACTCCCCCATATCTTCTCTTTACCTGGCTGGCCTTCTTTATCCTCCCCATCATTCAGGTTTCAGCTCAAATGTCAGTCATTCACTCAAAGAGGCCTTCCCCGACCGCTATCTAAAGCATCTGTTGGTAAATTTATTGGTATTAATAAAATACCAATTAAACCATGCTTATCAAATTAGTAAAGATTAAAAAATAATATTCAATGTTACAAAGAATCCGCTAAAATGGGCACTCAAAATCACAGCAAAAGACATAAAGTCTGGTTTTTATGAAAAGGGATTTTGCACAGCAGATTTTGTATTTTTAAATTTTCATGCCCTTTGACCCAGTAACTCATCTTCTGGGAATCTAACCTAAGGAAAGAATGAATGATTTGTACAGAGATTTATGCATAAACTTATTCTCAATTTTTTCACTTATTAATAATGTAATAATCAAAATACCCAAGTGCACAACTTAATTATGCAACATCAATATAATATGGTATTATCAAACATCCATTAAATTGTGTCCAAATTATTTTGATGCCATGAAAAATTATGACATGATGTAAAGTAAAAAAAAAAAAGGTTCAAAACTATATCTACTGTAATAGTATAAGCCCAATTATCTGTGTGTTTGTCAGGGTGCATACCAAAGGAAAAAAAGGCTGTAAGGAAGTAGACCAAATTACAGTTCTCTCTGGACAGATTATGAAATATTTTATATTCTTCATAATTAATTTTTCCACATTTTCTATAATTAGTATATGACTTATTTTTTAAATGTGTATATATGTTTCATATGTGCAAACAAAACAAGAATTTATATACATATAATATGAAAAAAGTTCTCTAGAAAGACAAATTTGCAAGTCATTCACATGGAGGTGTTAAAGCAGATCAAACTGCACAGGGAGAGAGTATATCAAGAATAAGATGCTGGACAGGGCCATAGCAAACACTCACTTTTAAGGGGCAAAAAGACTGAGTTAGTGAAGGGGCATGGGAGGGAGTGGTTTGATCAGAAGATGGAGAACCAGGTACCGTCATGTGAAGAAAGCCAAATAAAAGGAAGAACCAAAAAATCGTCCTCTCGGTCAAATGTCGCTAAGTGGCAAGAACAGTGACAGAGCCATTACAGGGAAATCGCTGGGTACTATGCAGACAGACAGATCTCCTCCAGTGCTGGAGGTGGAAGACAAATCCAAGCAAATGTTCCTGTTCAGTAAAACTGACAATGAGGAAAAGATGTCCTGGGCCATTTGTTTGATTTCAGTTTATGAAAGAAAAAATACTGTAGAAATCTAAAATCAAGTAAAAGCGTATCAGGATTACTGATCTATGAGTAAAAACAACAACAAAAAAATTGGCAACACTTTGGCATACAAGAAGAAACATGTTTGAGGGATAGTAAGGTTTTCCAAATAGTAAGCTATGTTACAGGATAAATGAGGGGAAAAAATAGCTCCATACATGTTATCAGAAGTACAAAAGAGTTGCATTTTTTTCTAAATATGAAACTTCTTAGTTTTAGAGTAGCATTGTTAAGAAATTCTTTGAAAGAAAATTTTAAAAAAGTACAATTTCATGGTATCATGTTACCTTCTTAAGACTGGACATGTAAAGTCTCTAGAAACATTTTCAAGTTTAAAGAAATAATTTGACGTGCTGAATAATGAATTGCTTGTTGGTTCAAACTTTGTCCTTTTCAGGAAAGGAGGTCTGCATAAGCTCAACAACTTGACTGAGTCTCAAGGACTTCACATCCAGCCACAGAATAAACATGTCAGTATGGTCCTACCAAGAGCACCATTTACCATAAAATCTCAATTTCACAATCATTAAGTAGAAACTACTTAATTTACAACCACTCATTTGTTTACTGAAGATCATTGAGAGTCTGTGTTAAATAATTTAACATCACCTGGAGATTACTGTACACAATCCAAAATAAAGTACTTTAACTTCCTATCAAAAAAAAATACAGTGAAAGACCATAACAACCTTTAAAAAACCTAACAGTCATTTTGTATGGAAATTCCTGGCTTCAGAACCAAGTTGCACACTTTTCTACCTGCAGAAAGAGTACAATTCCAATCTAAATGAAAGTTATCTATTTCTGAGTGTATGGAATTAAGAATTCCTGAAAACTAGTTTCATGGTCTACATAAATAATGACAAATTCTCCCAATTTGTGTGTAGGTGGTTAGGTGGCCTTTCATGGTAAACATGTCTAATGATCTCCCACACTCTCAACATTTTTTTTTGTCTGTGTGTTTTTGAATAACCTTTGTCCCTGAGAACTTCGTAAGAGAACAATGTAATCATTGTAGATACCCATTGTAGATATATGCAAATATACCTACTGCCTCTCCAAAAATTCCTGCTGGAGACCACCTCCCTAGAGTATAAACACAAAGAAAGGAGGTAAGCAATGTCAAAGAAATATGTTCAACAAGTAACATGGCTCAAATTATCAAATAAAACAACCACTATCTGTATAATTAACTACAGACTTCAGATCATCAAAACTCTACAAAGAATCCTAACACTTCTGATCCTTTCCTTCTACACCCATCTACCTATCCTATCCTTACCTCCAAAGAAAAAAAAGAAAGAAAAAGAGATTTTGAGGACACCTTAGCAAGAAAAAGTATGCTCTGTTACCAAGATGTGCTGTTAATAGAATTGTTTTCACTTCTGAAGTTTTATCTTCTTAGAATTATTGGAAGGTTGAAATCTGGCCCATCTTTTAACCAGAGTCTGGAATAAAGTTTGAATGTACCAAGTTAAACAAAGTTACACAATGGAGCAATTTTTACAAAATGGCACTGCTTTACTAACATTGCCAATAACTCTATTCTCTTCCCGGTAGCTCTACAGTTTAGGGACTGCCTGATAACAACACTTCCAGGCCCATTATAGAACAGTGAAAATAGCTCCACCAACCATTTAATGAACTGCTACAGAATTAACAACAGGACCTAATCCCATCTTCAAAAGGCCATAACGTTGACAGAACACAACGTAAAAAATATGAATGATACAAATTCATGAACTGAAGAGAACCCTTGTACTGAAAGGTTTTTTTTACTATTGTGGTTGGTTGGTTTGTTTTTAAGGAAAACTGCAAGACAGAATTAAAAATAAACTATTCTCTGTGCTCTGACAGCTCTCTGGGCTGATCTCTAGTATAGCACTGACCTCCCCAATACTGTAAATTGTATCCACTGATCTGTCTAACCCATTTGATTTTAAGCTCTCTTACAGCAGGGACAATTGGAACTTTGAATCCACAGTAGGACTGACAAAACCAGAGGCACTCAATAAATGTTTTATCAAAAAAAAAATGAAATAATTTTCTACAGAAGTTATGTATTTTCATGCTATATGTTTTTCTATTGATGGAAAATAATGAAATATATTCCTTCCCCTCACCCCCACCCCCCTTATAATCTTCTCTTCTGCTAACTCTATAGCTTTTTAAGGTCTACCTAACTCTTTCCTAACATGATCATCCTTCATCCAGGCTATAACTCCACAGGAACTTAGAAATGTTTGTTGAGGGTTATTTTCTTTTGTGTCTATATCAGACCTCAGAACAAAGTGTTATTTCATGGTTCCTAAAATATTCATCATTTGTGTATAGTATTATTAACTATGCAGATAAACAGTATTCCATTTAACCACTTAAATCAAGAACAAAAGAAAGACTATCTCATGCAAAAGAAGACCTCCTCCCTAAAGGGGCATTGTCTTAAAGGCTGATAATTCCCTAAGTATCTTGACTAACTTAAAAAGTCAAGTTGATAGAACCATCTGGATTAGGCAGCTTCTTGAAAGCTGGAATTAAGTGAAAGACAATAGTAGTTCAAATATCTCTCACCAGGATCAGCTAAACTCTGTTGTTGTAAGCACCAGAAGGAGGTAAGGACGCGTGCCAGATGGTTTGCTCCTAGCACCTACAACTTCAAGTTTAGTAGGTGTAGCCAGGGGTGTACGGTTACCTTATATTAACAGCTACCTACGTTGGTGACAGGTGCCAGAAATATATACATGATAGCGATTCGGGGATGATACATCCAGCTGCTATATTCTCAACATACCTCAAAAGGATATAAGTGCCTTAAGCAGAGTTCAACTGGTAGAAAGGAAGGGCAGAAAAATAGAAGAGGGAAAGAATGGCTGAAAATGAAGAAGAGAAAAGAAGAGTTGAATATCATAATACTATGGCCCTGGGAAATAGAATTTAGATGAACTGCCACCTTCCTCCGCCACACCAAATATATATATTTATATATTATATAAAAGGAGCGTTTCCGCCCTAGCGGGTAGCTTAATTTGTTGGAGCGTCTTCCTGATAAACCAAGGTTGCGGGTTCCATCTCTGGTCAGGGCACATACAAGAAGCAACCAATGAATACATCGGTAAGTGGAACAACAAATCCATGTTTCTCTTTCTCTTTCTCCCTCTCTCTTTCCTCCTCCCTCTTTCCCTCCCTCTTCCTTCCTCTCGCTCTCTAAAAATTCTATACATTTTTTTTAAAGAAGGAGTTCCTACCAGCTCCCGCCCTCAGGCAGCAAAGGTTCAGCCCTATATAACTGCTTCCAATCCCTAAGTAGTACCCAAAAGTGAGAAAACAGCAGAGGATCAGCGGTTCCTCCACTCCCTCTTTCCAGGGTAAGGGGATCGCTCTTCTTGTGCTCCCCTCGCCCCAGGAGTCGCGGGAGAAAGAAGGTGTGGAGGAAAGCCGAGGTCTCCGCGCACTCTCCGGCTGTGAAGGATGTGGAGCGAAAAGGCCCTTACCTGGCTAACAGCGGTCTTTTCTCTGTAGTGCTTCCAGCCCTACCACAGGTCCCAGGCGCTGTGCCTTGCGCACCTGTCGCGACCTAGCTGCAGCACCTACAGCTCCTGCGGCCCCGCCCCAGTCCAGCTCAGAGCCCCGCCCTGAACCCCGCCCACCGCCGCGGGCGCGCGCACGCCAGACCGCCTCCCTTGCGGCCTCGGGGCGAGCGTGCGCGTCGCCTGCTCCGCGCCGTTTCTTCCCGGCTGCTGGTGCTGGGCCCAGCCGAACAGTGAAGGCCCTTTGGGAGGCGGGGCTGCTTTTCCTGAGGGTGTGTCTAAGTCTCTGTGCTGCTCGCGAAGGAATCCACGTATCTTTTGGTTCTCAGGCCAGCGCTCAATCCAGTGAGCCTGACGAGCCAGGGTTGGAAATCCACATATTTTATCCGCCTTGGGCTTTGTGCTTCTCTAATTGGACATTAATTAACTCTCTTGACTCAGAGTCACCAGAGTGACTCAGGATCGCCTGGGGGGGTTTGCCCTAGGCCCAGCTAGGCCAGTTCCCCGTCAGGTTCCTGGTGTTTTAAGGGTAAGTTCATTGAAGGGTGGGTATTTTAGAGGAAGCTGTGCTGTGTAGTGGAAAGAGCTATAAATCAATCCTGTCTCGACCGCTTGACATTCATCAAGTTGCTTCATCTCAGTAGAGCTGAATTACCTCTTGGAAGGGATTGGACAAGGGCAAACCTCCAAGTTCTCCAGCAGCTCTAACTGGCATAGGTGGGCACAGGTAACCAGGTTCTCGGAGATCGTGGACAAAAAATTTAACCGAACGCACAGAGTTTAGAGCAGAAAGCGAGAGAAAGCAGATTTATTAAGCCCCACAGAACATGGGAGCAGGCCAACTCTGAGCAGAGCAGAGCAGAGCCTAACAGCCCCGAACTCAGGGGCCAGAGGGCTTTTATTCCTTTGAGGTGGATCTCCCATGATATCCTTGATTGGCTACCGGGAAAGAGGTCCCTCAATGATAATTTATTATAATGAAGCAGGGGTCAGGTAGCATCTTCTGCACAGGTGCATTCCTGATTCACTAAGATTCAATGCTTTTCCAGAAAGCAGGAACTACCAGTCTTAGAACAGGGTCTCTGCCCCTTATACATGTTCTTTATCTTAGCCCTGGGGTATCTCTGGAGTTTCCTCCTTCCTGACTATCTCCTGCCTCATAGCTTTTCACACAATACGAGTATGCAATATCTAGAAAATGCATTCCCATGCATGTGGAGTTACGTCAATATATCCTATCCCCCTACAAATTATAATTAAAAAAGAAGGCAATAATGGCCCTTATTCACCAAGAAGCCTAACCTGGGTCAGAGTTTTGGACCTAGATTTGAAACAACTCAGCCACTTAGCAACTTAGGCTAATTACTTGCTCTTCCAAAGCCTCCCTTCCCACCCTTTTGAAAATAGAGTTGGTAGCCCTAGATGGTGTGGCTCAGTGTATTGAGCACCTGCCTGTGAAATGAAAGGTCACTGGTTTGACTCCCAGTCAGGGGACAAACCTAGGTTGTGGGCCAGGTCAGCTGGGGGTGTGGGAGAGGCAACCAATCATTTCTCCTTCCATTCCCCTCTCTCTAAAAGGAAATACCGGTAAATAAAATTTAAAGAGAAAATAGAGTCAGTGCACACGGTTGGCTTTTACCAGTTTGCAAGGCTGATTGCTAGAGTTTCATGGATTTTATGAGCTAGTTAGTAAGCATAACCACTATTAAAAATCAAATTTTATAAAATTATAGTTAAATATGTTAAAAACTGGTAAATACTCAAAATTCATCCCTTCTTTTTTTAACTTCACTTGACTAATAACTCTGCTCTTGAGGTTGTCCATCTGTAGGATGGAAATACTGTGTAATATATGTACCTCTTCCCAACTCTTGAGTTCAGAGATGTCTCATTTGCAGCATAAAATTGGCTGCAAAAGGAATGTTTACATCATGGAAATTGGCAAATGCTACAAATCAGGACTTGGTTCATGTTTTGTTGATTTTCTAGACCAATTATCTGCAACTCTTTCTGTAAATGACCAAAAAGTAAGTATTTCAGGTTTTCCAGCATGTATAGTCTTTGTCACAACTACTCAGAACTCTTAAATTTAAAATGGGCGTGGCCATGTTCCCATGAAGTCTTATTTACAAAAATAGGCAGTAGGCTTGTGGAGAAAATATTGATAATGTAGAATTAAACTTTGTCACATGACCTAACATTGTGAGGAGTACAAAAAATTGAAGAACTCTAACAGTATTTGAAAACTGTTAACTAGTTCATGAATGACATTCCAACATACTTCTTCACTGTTTTACTTTTGTCTTACTGGTTAACTTAAACAAAAATAGCCAACATCCATGTCTGAACTACATTTTTGGGGCAGATGTGTCATTTTTGACAAATCAAATGGTAATCAAGCATTTATTCATAGTCTGGTTTTTATGAAATATTGTTGGAAAAAATCAAAGCTGACTTTTTAAGAAATAGCAAGCCATACCTAAGGTATAGGTATTAAAAAAGCAACATAACTATTTTAGTTTAAAATTCATGCTATTTCTGGGCTTCTGGTCAAGACGGCAGCATAGATAAAAGGAGTATTCACATCCTCCCACAACTACATCAAAATCATAACTAAACTACAGATCAATCATCATCTAGAGGTGCCTGAAATATAGATGAACAGAAGTCCTCCAATTAAGGATATAAAGAGGCAACATGGAGACTGGTAGGAGGGGTGGAGACATGGAATGGGTGGGCCCACACCCACATATGGTGGATAAAAATCAAGAAGGATGTTTCAGAATCGCAGGTCACCCCTGAGGAGAGAGGGATCCAAGCCCCACACACCAGGCCCCCAGCCCAGGGTTCCAGGGCCAGGTAGAGAAGTCTCCATAACTTCTGGGTGTAAAAATCAGTAGGGATTGTGGTTGAATGAGATGGATGGCTTCTGGAGTCCCAGACATGCCTCTTACAGGGCCTGCATACCAGCTTACTTGGACTTAAATCACTTTGAGCTCTAATGCTGGGGCAGGAGCTCAAAGGTACCAGGGATGTATGGGGAAGAACTGAATTGTGTAGCATCAGGGTAAGAGCTTGGAGGGACAGGTTATTCCTAGAGAGAAGTGCTGGCAGAGTCTATCGTTCCTTTTCCTTTCTTTTTTTCAAGGTGCTCCCTTTTTATTTTATTTCTAATTTTTTTATTTATTGATTTTAGAGAGAAAGACAAAGGAGGGACAAACAAAGAGAGAAATATTGATTTGTAGTTCTACCTATTTATGTAGTCATTGGTTGATTCTTGTGTGTGCCCGGACTGGAGATCAAACCCACAACCTTGGCATATCAGGACGATGGTCTTAACCAACTGAGATACCCGGCCAAGGCTATGTTGTTCCTTTTTTGAACCCCTCAGAGCCAGCAGGTGGGTGCCATATCTGGATCTCCATCAACCTGGCTAATGCTGTTTACCCTGCCCTTAGTGATTCCCTGAGACCCTGATTCACCCAACTTTTGGGCCCACCAAAACTGTTTCCAGTGGCTTTTCCATACAGACATGCTTCATGCTTCAGACTTTTCTAAAATTTCTCAAATAAGCAGCATCTGCCCTTCGCGCTCCATATCTCTCACTAAGTGGCCCCAAGACTGGCACTGGCAGCAGCCAGCCTTAGTTCACAGCTTGGCCTCTCCTGGGCACCTCCAAGCCCAACACAAATATCAGCCATCTCACTTTGTAGCTCCTGCTGGGTGGCTCCAGGAAGATCATAAAAAGTGGCTGACCTAGGCCTGCATCTTCTGGGAGGCTCCAGAGCCAGTGCACCTAGTGGACAGCTCCAGACCGTGTCAAAGCACCACCCAATCAAGTCCACAAACCATACACTCAAGGGGCAGACTCAGCAGGCACCAGAGCCACACTCAAGTGGGCCTGCTCTGTCGGGTGGGCTCCCACACAGCTGATCCTCCACAGTGGTTGGTGGTTGCAGCCTCCTTGCAGCCAATCAACTTGGGGGTAAATCCCTCCTAGTGATTTGCCAAAAGCAATCAAGGCTCAACTACAGCTCGAGGGTATACATAGCCCATATTGTGGGGGGAGGCTCACCCAGGCTGCCCAGCTCAGGTGAATGGGTGGGAAGGCTGTGACGGTTTACCCTACAGGACACCACCTACATAAGGCCACTCTACCAAGCCCAGGAGACATAGCAGCTCTACTTAATAATACATAGAAACAAACACAGGGAGGCTGTCCAAATGAGACAAAGAAACATGGCCCAAATGAAAGAACGGAACAAAATTCCAAAAAAATTAAATGAAATGGAAACAAGCAACCTACTAGATACAGGGTTGAAAAACAATGGTTATAAGGATGCTCAAGGAATTTAGGGGAAGAGGAGATGAACTTAGAACTTAGCAATGAGCTAGGAAACATAAAAACTGAACTAGAAATCAAAAATGAACCAGTCAGAAATGAATAATGCATTACAGGGAATCAACATGGAGTAGATGAAGCAGAGGATCAAATCAGAGCTTTGGACAATAAGAAAACAGAAAACAATCAGAATAACAAAAATAAAAAAAGAATACAATCCTGGCCAGATAGTTCAGTTGGTTAGAGGTAGTCCTGATATGCCAAAGTTATGGGTTCCATCCTTGGTCAGGGCATATATGAGAATCAACTAATGAATACATAAATAAGTGGAACAAAAAATCATCCCTCTCTCTCTTCCTCTTCTTCTCTCCTTCTCTCAATGACAACATCAATAAAACCAAAATAGTAAAAAAAGGAAGGGAAAAAAGAATCCAAAAGAATGAAGATAGTGTAAGAAGCCTCAGGGCAACTTCAAGTGTACTAACATTTGCATCATGGGGGTGCCAGAAAGATAAGAGAATGAGCAAGGAATTGAAAAATCTATGTGAAAAGCCCTGGCTGCTGTGGCTCAGTGGATAGAGTGCTAGCCTGCGAACCAGGGGGTTGCTGGTTCAATTCCAAGTCAGGACACATGCCTGAGTTGCAGGCCAGTTCCCCAGTCGGGGGTGCTCAAGAGGCAATCACACATTGATGTTTCTCTCCCTCTCTTTCTCCCTTCCTTCCCCTCTCTCTAAAAATAAATAAATAAAATCTTAAAAAAAAAGAAAAGAAAACCTATGTGAAAAAATAATGATGGAAAACTGCCCTAATCTGGCAAAGGAAATACACAAATGCATCAATGGAGCATGATGAGCCACAAAGATGAACCCAAAGAGGGCCACACCAAGATATGTCATAATTAAAAATGCCAGGTAAAGATAAAGAATCTTTAAAGCAGCAAGAGAAAAGCAGTTAGTTTTTCAGAAACTAACAGAAACTTTGCAGGCCTGAAGGGAGTGGCAAGAACTATTCAAAGTGATGGGAAAAAAAAAGAACCTACAACTAAGATTAGTATATCCAGCAAAGC